CAGCCTCACAGAAGTGAAGTGGTTAATTCAAACCTCCAACATGTCATGAAGATGAGTGAGCCCTTGTCCCTTTTGTACCTGTCCTATCAACATACAGAGGGCAGTGTGGTCACAGCATGGACTCTGATCACAGCTGATCACATCGGCAGGTCTGTATCTGCACACCAGTTATCTTACATGTGAAACTGTGACTGCTAAGAGAATTATAGAAGTCAGATGGGATGGTGTGTCTGCCTTCAAGGCAAATATTTAGCTGATGTAAAAGTGAAGCTCCACAACAGGTGTTCCAGTGCACATGGGGCAAATCACTCTTTGTATATTTATAATCAAGTGTGCACAGCAAATGGGTGATCACTGTCCACATTTATTGTTACAATTGTTACATCTAGCTGTTTTTTTTTATTACATTTTTAATGAATCTATATCCTGTTGCTAAGCTTCACCTAAACGACATTCTAAAGGCTTGTCTATAAGGAGGTGTTTCAGCCACGGTTTTCAGTCGTTCGTCTCACACGCCTACACAGCTGTCTACCTACAAAGGGGTGGGAAACACTCTATAATGTGAGTTCACTGGCTACAAAAAAATAGTAGTGACTATATATCATGCAGTATATTAGAGTGTTAGTGTGTGTATGGATGGATGGAGGGGTGTGTGTAAACACAACCATTTCTAAGTACCAATGTTTAAGAAACAGAAGAAAGTTACATAGCATGAAGCTACGTATCTCTACGTATTTATGTGTGTATGACATAAAGCGTCTTCGCTTTGTGGTCTTATTCTCTTCAAAACTTCTCAAAAAATCTTTTATTTACCTTTTTTGCACACACAGTGGGATGCTCCCATTTCTTTCCCCACTCACTCTCCAATTGTCTCTAAAGTGAACGTTTTGTCCTGTTACATTGTGTTTCGGATCTCATCACAGACCGCAACATTTGAGAATTTAACAGGGAGTATTGTCCCTATTGTCTCTGCCTTTCTCTACTGGCTCTTCTTGCTTCTACTCTGTCTCTTTCTCCCTGTTCCTCCCTCTCTCTCGGAGGTGAACGTCTTGTCCTGTTACACTGTGTGTTTGAGCTCCTCTCTGACTGTGACACTTGAGAAGTGAATAGGTAGTATCAGCACCTCATGGAGAACAAGAGGTGCTTAGCTGCTGCGTAAAAAGGCTGTGGTGTACTTTGCTCTGTGCAGCATTGAAAACAAGTAATCCATCAGCCACATCTGGACTAAAGCACTGTGCTAGGAAACAGGGAAGAACACATCTTCTGAGTCAAAGTGTCACTTTGACAACTCAGAGAAAAATCCTGCGAGGTAAGAAGGAGTGAGTTTTGGTGGTGGCAATAGACAAAGGCTTATGATGTATTCAGAATGACTGTGGAAATGGCCCTAAAAAAATAATTTACTTTTGTGATGCAACATCATTAAGCAGCACACTGTGTTGACCAATCAAATAAGTCAGAGCACAAAATCCAGGTAGACTACTTTGTGAACAGGATATTCTATTCTATATTTTTACCTCGTGACGATCAAAAGACTGTTGCAGAGTACTATAATCCTGTCTCGCAGTATTATAAACGTCTGGGCGGTGTTTTGGCATCTGACAAACCTTCAAATGAATCAAACTGGACTTCCTGGATCATATCTCATCTTCTCACTGGTACCTGTAGCAACACGCCAACGCAGCCTCTCACATTTTTTAATACAGTGCTATTTTTAGTCTGACCACCTGCTTAAGAGAAGCAGGTTTGAGATGATTTTCAATTCCGTGACCATCGGTGAAGGGGGGAGCCCTGAATAATAAGTGCTAATGTGCCCTTGAGGAAGACAAAGACAGGGACTGAGAGGAAGTGTGATTGTATTCACATGGCACAGGATGAAACTAAAAAGCAGCATCCATTCTCAGCCTATTTATAGAAAAATGCAATACTGCCTAGATTTTTTGTCAGTTCCCTCGCAAAAAGTGCTAAAGAATAAAATAATAATACATTAAATAAAACATTTCCCCAAATTTTTTTAATTGTGGGAGTAAAGCCATATAAAAAGGAGACCCATGATGGTAGTTAGTAGTGTCACACCCTGGCTTTAATGTATACAATAGTATTTCCATGTGTGTGTTCCTATAGCTGTATCTGACCTGCATCCCTGTGTGTGTATGCACGCAATAAACATACTGTCGGAATAAAAGTTCAGTGCAAGTATGTGTGTTCCTGTGCCCAAGTGTGTGGGTGGGAGGCATGGTGTGTGTGTAAACGCAGTGCTCTCCTTCTCAGCAGCCCACCATTAAACCTTGGTGCCAGCCCTCTCCCAGCACACCAGGATTAACAGCACTTAAATGGGCCTGTTAGTACACCACCTCCTCTTTGCCTCCCACGCCGACTAGTGCACATGGTGCTGCCCACAGCTTTGCGCTTGCAATGCACACTGCCTCTGTTGTTTTTTGTTCTCTACTCGCCCCCAGCCACCTAAGCCTCCTCCAATAAATGGTGCTGAAGTGTACTCAGCAGGGGGCTAAGCCCAGAACATCCTCTATTTTACGGACCTATTGGAATCTGAGTGGATGACAGGGGAGGAAAAGAAGGAGGGAGGTAGAGGCTGAGACTGTAGCAGATGGATGGGCTATGATCAAAATGTCAGTCTCTCCCTCCCTCTCTCTCATTCTTTGTTATTGTCTCTCTTTCCTTTGCTCTGTGTCTGGTTATCACATTCCCTTTGTGACAAATCATAAACAGAGGGACTGAGACAGATACACACACACACACACACACACATACACACACTCACACACCCCACCACAGCAATCAATAAATAAAATGGATTCCCATTGAGTCTGTTGGCCATGCAGCAGGCAGAAAGAGATGGACGAATGGATGTATGGAAGAATGGACTGTGTGTGTGTGTGTGTGTGTCTGTGTGTCTGTGTGTGTGTGTCTGTGTGTGTGTTTGTACGAGACTTTCAGGGGAGGTTGGGAAGGATTTTGTCTGCACATGGGCATGGAAAGGCCACCCTCACATAATACCGCAGGGTGTATTGTTCACAGCCATCTACTGTCCTCAATGAGAAATTCCATAAATTACTAGAGAGCAACAGACAGAGGAACTGAGAGAGACAGGAAGAGAGGGCAGAGCACAGAGACATAGAGAGCAGCCTCATACATCAATTTATCTTATCAATCTAACTACTGCACTCTATGCCATGCTATGTCCAGCTGATCACAAATGACAAATGTAACTAATAATATACAGGAGCTAAACATACTGATGGATCATTCCAGTTTATTGCAAATTAGGTCATATAGCTTTTACCATTGTTTCTGTTGGTGTTTGATAACACTGTAGTGATGGCACTGACAGCTTGGGACACAACACCACTACAGCAGTCTGTCAAATCTGACAGCACCAGAAACAGCAGCGGGACGATCAGACAGGTTGTAAACAAGCCAACCGCAGGGGTGTGCCTTTTCATATCATTGTGTTATATTATGGCATTTTGCAATGTGCTTACTTATTTACGTCATTACTATGCAGCAGCAAACACACACTGCAATGATTGATCAATTACAATGTATCGCACTGCAAAATAGGGGGAAAAAGAGAAGCTTGGTAAAGTGGAGGCAAAGAGTTAAATAGTCAAACAGGAAAATATATATATTTCAGATGGTTTTGGTTTCTATCTCTAGGACGCGCTGGGATGCATCATCAGTGATGTTCCTGGGGTCATCGGGGGTTTCGGGTCTTTTAACATCAGACCCCCTCACTCAGGTGACCCATCCGGGGTTGATCAAGTCCCAGATTGGATCCCAGCAGCACCAATCAACGGGCTCACCCTCTTTATCCAAAGCCCTCGTGCGGCTTTCTCTGCGGCTTCCGTTGGAACGTATGGCTCGTACAGCCCCAGCTGCCAATCAGGGGCTGTGGACAGGCGGCCTGACTTGGTCTGTGGTCGCGAGTGGGGCTTCTCTCCAGTCTTCAGGAAAGGGATGTTTAAGATAATATAGCACACCCCGTAACCAGCTCAAGCAAGAGAGGAGTAGATTGTAAAAGACAGAAAATGTTTGTCTAGTTCAACCAGCCTTTTGGAGGGATACAGATAAAGCAGCCAGCTGCTCTGTTTGCAACGCTCTGCAGTTATAATGTGGATAATTTATACATGGGTTACTGTTGTATGTGCAAATGACACCAAGTTGGCTGGGTTTCCCCAGGGTAAGAGAAATGAATTAACTTTGCTAAAACACACCTTGTTTTCACACTACTGCTCGTTCTACCCATTGCCAAGAACATTTTCTTCATCTAATTACTTTGCTTTGTATGCATTCATTTACATTTAGAGCATATAAAAAAAACATTTTGCATGGTGTAATGTGCAAAAATGCTTTAGCATCAGTTATTAGTTTCTAGAAATGATGTTTGGAGATAATAATTTCCATTGACAGAGAGAATACAGCCCGGTAGTAGATCCCCTATGTGCTTCCTGATTAAAAGGGAAAAGCAAGAGATACTCCCTGCTAATTCGTATTCATACCATATGGCATATCATATGGGAATATGTAACTGCCACCTGACATTGACAAGGGTATAAAGCAACACGCCATCATTGCTATGTTACATCCTGTGTGCTTTATCTAAAAACAGATGGAAGATTAAAAGAGGAAACATTGTCCCATGTCTTGTTCAAATCATATGGATTACTGCAGCATATGGAGAGAGTGCAGTGTTGAAACACTCATCAGGATGTAACAAATATGTTTTTCAACACATTTGTATTTCTGGGTTGTAAAAAAAAAAGATCACATTTGTTCACAGCATATGTTGTGTCAATATGGTCTTTCATTAACATGTCGTTTTGAAAGGTGACATGTACAGTATGGTCCAAAACTGAATGTTTGTCTGTGCTGAAAACGATTTCATATTAGTTCCCCTGGTGTTCAGATATAACGTCAAATAAAAAATCAGCAAGGTACCTGCCAGTGGTTTTCAGGGACGTGATTTTTGAATCACTGCCTACCTTTTCTATCTCTTCAGGCAGTGGGTAGATCAGAGGACAGTGAAGAACCATCTTCATTTCCTTCTCCCCCTCCTGCTCCGCCTCCATAGATCTGTCTTTGTCTCCTGGAAACAAGCAGAAGACCAGCAGAATTAGCCTTTCCTGGTTTTCATTTGATGCTGCAATTTAGGGCGGCAACTAACCTTTATTTTCAACACTGGTTAGTCTGTCAATTTAGCTTTTTTAATGAATGGATTAATCTTGTCTATACAAAGTCAGAAATTAGTAAAAGATGTCTATCACAATTTTGGATCACAATTGGAACCAGATACAAAAAGTCACAAAATAATCTATTTCCAATGCTATTAAACAGAGAAAACTAACAAATTCATGCATTGGAAGATCTGGAGCCAGTGAATGTTTGGCATTTTTGCTTTATAAATGATTAATCAATAAAGTAAATGATTGCTTTTGAAGTAGGTAATTTATTGACTTATTGTTTTGACTCCACTGTGAGCTATATATAATAAAAATAAATATTAAGCCTTTAAGGGGTTAATGCCAAACATTGAACATGTTGCCTTTTTGTCTTCGAGGTATTATTTGAGGGGTTAGTTCAGTCTCTTAGCTTTATGTTTTCTCTGGCTTTAACTTCCACATTCTTGTATAACATCCATCCCCTTTAAATGAGAACACGCTGATCAACAGCAGCAGCTTGCAGGTAAAAACATGCCAACTAATCACTCTAAAAATAAAACCTTGATATCAAAGTATTTCTACAACCACTGACATTGTATTCTACCCAATAATACCCAGGAAAACTGACTACTCCTTTGGGGATAAAAGTGGGTGGAACTTTTAAACTGATGAATAGCACTTAGCCTCTGAGGTTAATGTAAGGGTAAATCCCTTAGCGTGATGTCTACCATATTAAACCCATTTGCCATACACTCTATTCAATAGATTAATCAGTCAAGCTTATGGCATTAAGCTTATAGATGTAGATTATGGTATTTCACAGTTTAAGGTATTGTCCATTGCAGGGAAACAAAATGTTTAACAAGGACTGATTCAACCTTCAAGTGTGGTAACTATCCACAAAGGTTCTAATAACTCTTCGTGTGAGTGTTGGTGTCAATTAATAATGGAGGTGATACTTTAACGGTATAATTCATAGCTTCAAAATATTTCCGCGTACCCTGTGCTCTCTGTTCTTTTAGTTGCTGCTAACAAAAGAAAATCCAGCTTTCCCTTGTAGTGGCCATTGAGGAACAGTCAGGAATGCGGCCATGGATGCAGGAGGTCGCAGGAGAACTGTAATGCAAGCCTATCCCAGCCCCTGTGTCTATCTGTCTGTGCATGCTTTCAGGGCATTTATCTATCCGCTCACCATTAGTGAGGGGAAAGCAGCACGCCAACTCAACACTTGACCTCAGATTAAATACCTCTGGCTAACTTAGGGCCAGAGGTCACTCCTATCAGATGGTCCCCTGTGCACGGCTGCATGCCAGACATTAAATGCCCTCGCAGACCATCGGAGGGAAATAGAGTGAGAGGACACACAGTAAAATTTACCGCACAAACACACAAGGATTTGGCCCCGAGCACAATGCACACAGACAGACACACATCCATCTATCTACAATCTAAGAACTGCATGCAAAGACAGGCAGGTTTAACTTGACACACACAAACTACAACATTCAGGCACTAGCATGTGAACAAGCACGTGTACTCCCTCTGTTGCTTTCATACACAAACACACACACACAAACACACACACACACCAGTGCAGACACACAAACCCTTCCCAATCAAAGAGCAGGCTTCATGCTCATGCACGCTAATAGCCTGATTGCCCCCCTACTGTCTCTAGGCCCTGCATTTAAAACACAGCAGAGATCCCATTGCTGGCTCATACAATGCAGATAAATTAGTAACGCCCTGTGACAGCATTAAGCAGGCCAATCCTTTTAGATGGACACAGATATAAAGGGCTGATTTTGCATGACAACTGTTCCCCCGTGACATTTTGTCCGTTTTAGCCCTGATTGAACTATTAATCAGTCTAATGTGAGGGAGGCAAGCTGTTCATAAACTCATCTATTCTGCATGGACGCATGCCTGAGTCGTGAGAGGAAACAAACATGAACATATAAACTCATGAGGGTCTTCAGTTAGGCACGAGCACAAAGAGCACAAGCACTACAAGGGAAGGGAGGACACAAGACAAAGACATGTCCCTAACTCGTCTCATCCCATTCTGATCGCAGCAGATGGAGTTGAAATAATTTGATTTTATTGATCCACAAGATAATTGTTTGTTTAAGGAGTTTTGTTATGGTAACCACTATGCGTCATTCCTGCCCACAAATACAGTTGAGTGATTGACAGTCAGAAAATAGTTTACTGAAACAAGCAAAAGCACATATATCCATATGAAATAATTCCATAACAATACATCTAATAGACTCAATAATATATATGTATATTACAGTCTAGATATCATATCATTTATAATACGATGAATAGTTAGCATATACTTATTAATAAAAACGACAGATCCTAGATTAACGTTAGTTGCAATGTGTATTGTGTCCAAAATGCAGTCTTTTAGGTGCAGGCATAATAAAAAATAAACTTTATCTTACTGTTGGTCATTGTTAGTTAATGAAGGACAAAAATAAACAAATATAAGAAACTGAGTCGTTAGCTAAGCTGTAAACAAATCAGTGCGGTTTCACTAAAGTTAGCTCTTACCACTGCAGTCATAAAGTAACAAGACTGAGGATTTTTCTATCGACTTGTAAACAGAACAAACCTCTACCCACCCATAGTCAATGGTCTCTCTCGGAATGAAGGCGAATATAATCATAAAATACTAGAAATGTTTACTGACTTCTTCCTGGCGTTAGGTACGCTCTGGCTGTTGCTATGGCTACGACGCAGCCTTGTCACGTAGCCACTCGGTGTGGAACGTCCAGTCACCATCAAGTTGGCCAGCATAGTCACAGGAAGTTGGTTTCCTGTCAAAATAAAAGCCTCGTGATATTATTATTTTTTTAAGTTTTAATATGAGCATTGATTATGATCATACATAAACAATTGCATGTAATATATTGCAAAATAAAATAGAAATAAAAACATTTTCCAGGACATTTCTCTAAAATGCCCCAGTATTCCCTAACAAGGCCATCTCAACCCTGACTGGACCATCTGTAGACCTCAGCAACTTTTCTGTGTTTGTTTACCATTGGTGTGGATTCTCATCACTTTAATTTCATGCATTTGGCAGCTGGAGGCTACACATGGCAGGCTTGAGATGAACCAGCCAGGAGTTCAAGGCTTAGTAAGCTTACCTTTTAAAGGTCCTGTGGGTATTGAAAATAATATGCATAACTATGTTTTCATTAGTGTATAATCACCTGTATATAGGTAGGTTAACTTAGAATGAGCCGTTTTATCTACAGACGGTCCACCATGATGAACCGGCCATGTTTCTACAGTTTCTCTTCTTTTGTGTTTGGAAGGGGAGGGTGAAGCAACAGAGTTGTGGCCTGCAATTACACTGCTAGATGCCACTAAATCCTACCCACCAGACCTTTAAATAAAGCTTCTTTTTTTTTTGTAAATATACATTTATTATTAGCTTATATAATATAAGCTACAAACTGCAGACAGGCAACGCAATTCTCTGTTTGGGTTGTGTGGATTTAATTCATGGCCTCAGAAGTAATGTGAAATAACAGCCAGACATTTCCTCCGGGGGTTTTACAGGTCCAATCGTTTCATGGTAATAGATGGTTTACAAATTACTTTGGACAGACATTTTATGTGATATCATTACCCTTATTTCTCTGTGGCTGGCCAAAGCAAATCTGTGTCTTAATATGGGCTAATGTCACCCACCCTAATAGAGAGGGAGAGAGAGATCTTTGCTATGATTTCATTTGCAATGCATGTCGTGCTATTTATGGGCCCGTCAATGAATCGTGCAGACTCAGTTGCCCTGATGCAAATTGCACTCACCCACTCAAGTCTAGTCTACCTTCCGTGCCTGTTTATCTGCCTCCACAGCAGAAAAGAACTGGTGAACGTGACAAAAGGGGGGGGGGGGATTGTGCTCAGGCAGACAATAATCAAACCTCATACCCTACTGTTCTAAAGAGCATATATAGAGGAAAGACAAGCCCTCTCTCTGTGCCCCCCTTCTCTCGCTGTCTCACTCCCTCTTACCCTCTCTGAAACCGGTCACATCCTCAAATACCCCTGAGAGGGAGTTAGATTTAATGCAGCATCATATAAGCTACAAAGCAGTATAACAGAACCACAACTGACAATGATTTTGTCATGTATGAGATTTATCAGAGCTCTCTTTTTAGTGTATCAAAGGGTGATATAGCCAACTTTCAAAATAGTCTAATTGCATATACAGTATCCGGCTACATCATTTTAATTGTCTACATTATCATAATTTTAATATAGCTCATATTTATTTCACTGCAGCTAGTCTGATTATTAAACCCTGCCAGGTTAATAATTGATGAGAGCTGGAATTCACACAAAAAATAATCTAATTATTTCTCTGTGGTAATTGTTTGTGGAACCACTAGACTGTGTTTTGGGCAGTCTCTGTGGCAAAAGCAAATTAACCTAATTTGGGAAGGTGCATCCAGTGTTTTAGGGGCACTGAGCCTGCAGGGACTGGGAGCTTGGCATCTATTGAGTCTGTTTCCGGCACGCTATGCTGTGTGGGCAAGTGTATAATGAAGCATGCTGAGTGTGTGCTTGCGTGCGTGTGTGTAAGAGAGAGAGAGAGAGAGGAAGGAGAAGGAGGGTGAGGGGCGACAGGCGAAAGTGTCTGTGTGTATGTCTATGTGTGCATGCACAAATTTAAGAGGGGGAGGAGGGTTGAATATGACCCACTATTCTTTTTTTGGCATGAAATGACTAATATTGTCACGCTTGACATATTTGGGCTAGGCTATGCAGGACAAATCCGATGGCCAACAACGCAGGTTGAACTCACCAAAATCCCCACAAAATACTGCTGGAGCAGCACTCCACACACAAACCTGTGACTGACAATGAAAGAGGAGAATCATTAAACTGATGAGACATGTTGGCACTCATTACATTGTAAAAAGAAAATCTTATGTATTGTGATGTTTAAGTCAGGTAACCCAAATATCCGATCCCGTCCACTGCTCTCCTGTCTACTCCATCTAAATGTCTAAAGTCATATTCACCTGTTATGTTGCGCCATGATCCTGTTTTCCCAGCGTCTCCCTGAGCCTCTGTTTTTCCTATTTCCTTTATTAGTAAAAATAAGAAAACCCCACATATGATTCATGAAAAAATTTGAAGACTACGATTTGCTCATACCCATACATGCCAGGAAATTAGTCAGGCTTGTGTAAATGCCCAAATAATCCTACGGTCCTAAGACCTACACATGGAAACTAAATATTCAGAACAAATGACACTTAAAATCCTAGTTTGCAGCCCAACAACAACTAAATTAAGAATAAAAGCGGATACTGATGAATCTATAAGCATTGTCACATCTAGCCTCGTATTCCTTAACCCTTCAGTGATCCTCTAGCTAGCACAATTTGAGTTCACAGGTTTCACATTTTATATTAAAAATGGACAAGTGATAAATCACTAACCTTTATGAAGGTCTAGTCTCTGGCGTAATATGGTCATATGTAGTTCAGTGCACCCAGAAGAGGGCAGTCTAATAACCCAAGGAGAAAGATGGCTGAACCTAATAAATGGCATGACATTTGCAAGATGTGTAACTTGTTTTACAAGTAATTTGTTGGATAATTTTGAAATGTTCCGCGTTCTATACACATGTATCTTTACATGCAAATAAGTATAATTAAAATAGAATATAATTAATATTTTAGAAATAACCGCCCTGTTAAGAAGAGACCGCCTCGCTAACATTATGGTGTTAACTTATCTAACATCACAGTTGTCTTAGCTCACATTAGTATGTGCATTAGTCTCTCGTCTCTCTATCCTTTTTTTTATTTTTAAATCCCAACAACCAAACAGATGATTGTGCAGACAGAACAGAAGAATCCCTTTAAAACTGCAGGAGGAAATGTTACATAAAAATATTACCTAATACATTACATAATAATAATTATACTATTATATGATATTAGTCATTTGTCAGTTCTGGTCTTTAGTAAGAGAGAACTGGACTTTGTCAGTAAGCTTCAACCACAGTAAGCTTGTCGGATGGTGTGTGAAACTCCCTCCGCTCAGACCTTCCTGACTTCTGATGTGACTGGACGCCACTCACTTCAACTACACCCTGACCTTTTGACTTACCATCAGTGGCTTAATCCACCTTTGCAAACCAGAAGTAGAAGAGAGTTACTTACGACTGCTTAGTTTTTAAATTCAAACACTTACTTCCTGCTACCATTTGAGGCCACCAGTGAGTGAAGTAGCTCAGAAAATCTTGAGGACTACCTCAATCATTGTTTATTTCAGACATGACTCTGTCCAACTAGATAGCTGTCAATTCATGTGTGCCTCTGTGTCTTAGGATTGATTTGCATGTCTGTCTCTGTTAGTCTTTCTGTCTGTCTTTGTCCTCCTTCTTGCATGTCTCTCTGTCAAATGGTTTTCCTGTCCACCCCGTCTCTCTCTGCTTGAATCTTTATATGGCTCTCTGCTTGCCTGCCTGTCTATCTCCCTGTCTTTTTGCTTATCTGCAGGACTATTAAGTGTGTGTGTGTGCGTGTGTGTGTATGTGTGTGTGTACTGAATGGATTTGCATGAGAGCCAGTGGGGTGACCCTGCTCTCTCACGCCAAGGCTTCTGTGGAACAAATAGGACTAGTCGGATGTCGTGACAGCACTCACATCAGTTTAAATAAGAGTGCTGTGCTGCAGCCGTGTGTGTGTGCGTCTGTGTGTGAGTGTGTGTGTGTTTAAGCAAGCAGCCAGGCACGCATTTAGTCAGAAAAGCTTTTCGAGGCTTTGTATGTGTGTATGTGTGTGTGTCTGTGTGTGTCTGTGTGGGTGTGTGTTTGTGCAGGACTGTGTGTTTCAGCCACTGAGCATGCAATATCTTGTGAGGTTTGAGGTTTTGTGAAGAGGAAGACAGCGATATTAACAGTTTAATGAGCTCAGTGGGGTTCAAACACTGACACACAGGCCAAATGCTCCATAGAGTTCCTTTGAAAAGGAACAGGTTTGTCCTGTAAGGCCAACCTGCCCTCTGAATAAATGAACGCTGTCACAGGGTTACATAGAGTTCACTTCAACATACATCACTGCAATATAAATGAGTGCCAGCCACAATTATGAATTATTACTTTTCATTATAGTTATGATGCCTAAGAATTTAAATGAGATTGTTATTTTAGAAGGTGCAGTCAGGCACGGCCAATTGTTAGATCAAATTAAGATAATTATTTTTAGATTTATTTTTCATTTTTATTTTATTTTTAGATTGTTTACCTAAACAAGGGTTCATTTTATGTCTTGTTCCCTTCGCTGCATGTTCCCATTCTGTCATATAAAATTATGTTACCTTTCATTCCCTTGTTTATGCCACATAGCTACTGTATATTTTCCTGTGAATATAAAACCTCAACATGCTCACTGCTTTCTTTTCAAGCGCAGTTGAAAATGTATCTTACCAATGTCCATGAAAAGACTTAAAATTCAAAAGGCGACATGTTTTTGAGAGATGTTTTCCTGGAGGAGACTTTGGTTTCAGGTGACTGACAGTGAGCGGAATTTAATGTAATGCACACTTTTTTCTAGCACAGTTAAATAATAATACAACTAAACAAAAGGGATATAGACAAATTAAAGTTTGTATTTCATTCAAGGTGTTTTTCAATACTACACAGCTAGAATGAACCTTGATATCTAAATATCCTGTGCACCGACAGTGTTGCCCTTTTAGGGTGTCATCAG